GACGCCAAAGTCTGTAAATAGTTGCTCCTCCTCTTGTAGGAATGCCCAACCCAGCATGTAGATTGATGACTCCTCGCTCGTCCAAGAGGCTTCAATGTCAACTCCATTGAAGGCCGCAGTGCTACCCTCCTCGGAGTCCGGGTCAGGAAGCTCTGAGACGATTGTCAGATATACCAATGTTATAGGAAGTTTTCTCAGAGGCTCAAATACCTGGCAGGTCTACCGGATCCCAATGTGGGAGCTGGGTCAAGACTCCATTCTTTTCATTTCCAAGAATGAGTTTATAATTTCCGTCCACGAGCGTTTGTAGTGTGTCGAGAGTGACAGTGACAGAGAGTGTATAGTCACGAGACATCCTGGAAGATGCTTTGGAATTCATTTTGGAAGATGTTGAGAGGCTTTGCCAGTGGCCTTCTCCAAGATGTAAAGGCAAGTCTGAGAATTCTTCATATACATGTTCATCTGGCCGATTCTTGGCGTCAACCAGCCTGGCCAGTGTCGCCTCTATGAGTCTATGCACAGTCTAGACGCACAGAAGTCTTCAGCTTTGCTGCATAACGCAAGTATGAAGTCCCCCTCGCGTCTAGTAGTCTTCATTATCTATGATCATGTTGCTGTTATCAACTCTGCAGGCTTCGGGTGCAGGAGAGCGGGCTAGCTGAGAAACAGCCAGTGCGCGGGCGCTTCTTATTTTCGGCTGCCATTGTGCATACGGTGTCATTGAGAAGCTGCGACACTTCCTTGCAAGTCACATCTGAGATATATTTTCGGTGTTCTAGCCCTCCAGCTGAAAGTCCCAGCCTTCAGCCTCCAGATAGACCAGTGAACTGAGCCGACGAATCATGCAGAGTGGGTGCAAAAGAGCAATGATGCAGCTAGAAAAGTTGCTTATTTTGGATGGCACTGCTGAAAGAGGAGGCGATGCGTTGTGCATGAACGAAATCCAATCTTGATGGCAATTACCAAAGGGTTCTAGAACTGGGGTTGTCAGCCTTATGGCAGGATGATGTGGCTCTTCATGCAAAGATCACGCCACAACTACCCAGATTAATCTGTCGAGATCGGTGATGAATCTGCATTGTAGCTCTACAGGGTCAATCATATCTTATGCATGTCAGTAGATAGCGAAGACATTCTTCAGTGCGAATGTGGCCAGAAAAGATGAATGACCCGCATCACTATATTGCACCGAAAATGATAGGCAAGCTTTTTCAAGCTTCACTCTTGTTCTAAGCAAGATATCTTGATAAAAGCTTGAACAACTTGGCCAAAGTCTTCACTGACTTGGGCAATTGTAGAATCACCGGGGAATGCTTACAATAGGATGATATGCCATGCGCGGTCCAGATCACATTGCTCTAGACCGTCCAGCTTCAGCCCTATATCTCCGCCCTACGGGACGTCCCGTGGTTGTTCAATCAGAATTCAGCTCAGATTGTTCAGCTGCTGCACCTGCATATCATCACATCCAATGAAGATAGCGTTTGGAGCTAACCACGGCACAACCAAAACACTGGGTACGCTTTCGATCCATATTGGGATGAGGGCTATGTACGATGCCTTCAGCTCGCTTAATTGCATCGAACTATCACCTTGGACGATATCAGCAGGATGCAGACCAGGCGAGGTAAATGAATTTGCATGATCAGGCCTTCGAGAAATCATGTGGTGTATTGTAGAATGTCGTTGTAGAACTGTCTTGACCAAACGAATACACTGAGAAGAACCTGCAGCTTAATCTGGACAAGATTCTCGCAAAAAAAGTTCTATATCAGATGAGATTTCGTTCAGATCTTGTACAGAATGATTGTAAGTCTTCGCTGATTGGTTGCTTCGATTTGTTCCATTGATCTGATTGGTGGTCAGGTCAGATCTACAAGGCTGAAAATCACACTCATAGGTGTTACTTGAGAACTTTGTCCAGCCCCCGTGAAGTATGTTTGTCTTGAGACGCAAACTAAAGCGATAGACAGAAATGATATCCAGTGAGCATTTTAGCTTTAACAGTTCAAGCCTTTTGCAAAGGTTCAGCATGATCCATGGATGATGGACGGGCATAAGTAATGCCCACGCTTCCTGATTTTCTAAAACCAAGGTTCCAACACATGGTCTACAGCGAAATACCTGATCAGGTTAAAATCGCGATCCAAGTGTTTCCATCGCTCTCTCAGCAAGAAATCGCCAGTCCACAGAGCGCACGCAAGAATTTGGGCCAACTCAATTGAATTCAGACTACTACTCCCCGCGTAGTATTGATGAAGGATATTTTATATACAAAAAGCCCAAAGCGGCCGCACAGGCATGTCGCTACATCCGCCTAGGAGCTTCCAGCAGGACACAATCCAAAGCTTGGATTGCAACCTGTCGAGCAAGCTCTCTTCTTTCCACATACTCCACGGCGCGAACAGCAGTTGCCGAATTGGCTGCCATTACAGGTTGCGCCAGTGGATCCGCCACACTTTCCATCGGTGCTAACCTTCAACTCGCCCTTGTGGCTTGAGGCAGGCGCAGCGGGTACTGTGGCCGTCGGCGCTTTGGAAGTAGGGACTTTGGGGACGAGGGTCGTGGGTGCGGCGGGCGCGGCGGATACAGATGGGGCGGCTGATACGGCTGGAGCAGCGGGGGATGAGCCGCCTGCACATGCGTTTGCGAGAACATTTGTTGGGAAGGTATGCTGGGTGTTGCACTGTCCGCTGGAGAACAGATCGGCGGCTGTAGACTGTTAGTTTGGGAAAGATATGTGGCAAGGTGCGATACATACAATTGACTTCGAGGTTGTTGGGAGGGTTGATGACGAGTGGATGGTCGGCTTTATCACCACCGGTAAGACTCAATTCGCACTCGGAGAGTCCTGCGCCAGCATCTCCATTGTTTGGGCCAGTCCAGACATCGACCCAGTCACCCGTGCAAGCAGCGCAGGTATCCTCGAGTCGTAGGTATTTCTTCAAATATGGAGCATACACTACTTGGCAGTTTGTGAATCGTCCCTTTTCAGCAGCCATGGTAAGAGGGTCGTCGAAAGTACCAGTACCTCCAGCAACGTTGTTGCGTCCTCCGCAGTTCATCGCAGTGTCTGCGCTGGGTGGGTCATTATCTGGCCAGGCATAGAACGTCATTTGGAAGTTTGATGCTGCTTGGCATTGGGCATAGGCTGAAAACGCAAAAGAGGCTGCGGCGATGGCAAGAGTTCTGATCATTGTGGCGAGTTTCGTGCTGGGTGTTCGTAGTAAGCGAGTGTTATGTAACTTGTTCAAGTCAAAAGTTTCAAAGCCAAAGGAGGAGTTGATATCAAATCAAGTTTGATTGAAATAGAAGTGAAAGAATGTATCAAATGAATGTGAGTGCCTTCAAGGTCAACGAACTAGAATTTCAAAAATGGGGCAGAAGCATAGTCTTATTTACATCTTCGTAGATCGTATGTGCCAAGGTGTGCATCGATCAGGGGCCAACATACGGAGTGATGGCGTTGGCATAATTAGCTAACATTTATGTGGCTTTATCTTTTTCTCAAAACTTACGAGGGGGTTGACATGCACTGCTTGCGGAGTACACAAGTCAGCTCCACATAGTGCTGTTGCGAGACATAATATCGGATGTTTCCGTATATGTATGTTCGTATGCTTATGTTGTACGTTTCATAAAACGATTTCACTATGCCACAGGTGAGTCTCATTATTGAACGACACTTTGCGAACAGTTCTAAGCTTCAGTCTAGAAAAGCTGTCGTGACACAACTTTCAGTAAAGGAACTTAAAAGCTCCGAGTATTCAATTAGCGCCCAAGCTCCATCTGAAGTAGGATAATTTCCTCCAACAAGTTGGTTGAATCACCCAAGCTCTTTGGCTGTCAAAAAGCTAGGACGATTTCAAGGTTAAAAAAGCAGGCCTGTAGAAGTAAGGCTGTAACCGCTGTATCAACAAATCCAACATAATGCGAATTTTTCGACTTCTGTGTCCCTTGCATACAGTTCATTGCAAAACAACCCGAATTACCATCTTCGTCGCAAATGCTTGCATCTAAATCCTCAACAAATATCACACTTGGCACACAAGACAGCCAAATCACGATTCCCTAGCCAACGCTTTGCCAATACCTGCTCATCCCCTCCTTAAAAACCACATCGTGAAAATTAGCTCAGAAAGTATGCTTGATGGCTGGAATAGTGGGGTCTGGATCTTACAAGCCAGCAACTTGGCAGACGTAGGGAGGATGATGAGGCGTAGCGTCGCTTGGGCCTGAATGTTGGGGAAATTATCCACCCCTGAGGCGAGATGCAGTGATGGACCGTTTTGGCTTTTTGCCTTCCCTGTTGGGCGAAGAATATTCGGGGAAATTTAATGCACGTGTGGAGGCTCAGACAAACCCTTGGGTTGCGATTATTTGTGACACATTTTATGATGAACCAGTTTGCGAGGATGAAGTTTAGTAACAATAATGATCGAGGGTCAAACATGAAGTTCTTAGAAGGTGTACTGCCCTTGCATGTTACATGACAGTACAGATATATCTGGGATATGTATTTTCGGCGATTCATGGCATGATAGTCTTGACGTCTGTGGCTATAAAACTATAAAATGGTTCAGGTGGCAATCACTATTTTATACCACGTACGGAGCACTCTGTTACCTTTGTGCTACCTATTTCAAAGCCAATCAAGCTTGATTCAGAACATGTCGTAAAGCTGCTCGAAGTCGATTCGGATGACAGGAATTTAATACATGGACACACAGCATATGAAAACTTATACCGAACACCCATGGATTATCCCCACATGTGATCGAAGATGTTTCGAAACAAGTTAATTATGGCGATGGTTCGTAGATCTCATCGATTTCATTGATGGAAAAAAAGTCTAAAAGTAATCAAGTAGTCATTGAATCAAGCATGAAGAAACCTTGATATAAGCATATTCAAAGCCCCAAAAAAAACACAAAAAAAAATCTCGAAACACATCATCGAAAACCAACCAAAAAAAATCACACACATCAAAAAGGATATTCTAGCGATGAGTGGTTTCGATCCACTGACCTCCGGGTTATGAGCCCGGCGCTCTTCCCCTGAGCTACATCGCTTTAAGCCTAGTGCAAGACCTTTTGGTGATAAATTTGAACTTCAAATTAACACAATTATCCACAAAGCAGATGTCAAAAATTGCTTGATTTGCGAATATATAATGTACCCTGGCTTCTGCCCAAATTCGCCCAGTCTACCTGCTTTAACGATCTTGATTCTATTTTCACGTTTTGTTTCTAGCCAGCCATCTTTCTACAGTAATAAATCTATAACATAATAATTGGTACTTTCTGAAAGATCAACTATTCATATCGCGGTCATACTACTTGTCATCACGAACCGATGCAAGCGTTTATATGATGAGAAAATAATGAAGCAATATTTCTGCAGATATTGTTCATACATCTGCACATTCAAAATGTTTGGAAAGAGTAACATGGATTATGCTGATAAGATGTGACTCAGAGATAGAAATTGCTGCGCTTGCCCGTTGGCTATTTCGGCAGGGTGAGGTATTATGCCTGGGACCGCGGGTAATTAATCTATTACCCGACCACGTTCTAACTTCCTACTATCAACTTCACCTCCAACGATAAAGACTTGCCGACCAAATGTCTTATTTTGTTCAGAAACCTCAAGCTGTTGTACTGGTTGTTGAGCCTGTCGGAAGTGTAAAGTACACGCATCCAAGACCAACAATGTTAGACTAGCAGATAACTTTCCAAGGTTGAAGAACATCATGAATGGTATTGGGGAGAAGTCGGTATAGCCGCAACTCTAAATAGACACTATTGACACAAATAATCATCAAAGCTCGAGGTATGTTCTCACAGGAAGAAATACCAAACAAGCAAATGATCCAAAAAACTCCTGACAATGAACCCTGAATGCACATCTGGACTACTAATACACTAGATCCGCTCTCCCATAGCAGGGTAACGATATCAGCACCCCTTTTGGAGCATTACATTACAATGTTCTCAATGCAACCAAAATTCTGGTCGACACCAGCTGGCTTCCACATATCATTTCCGAAGCTGAAGATGACAGTCTTGTCACCGACCTTGTTGATAATATCGGCAATGGCAGCGTTCTGAGCTTCTGGGCTAGCGACTGAAGCACCGTTGGATGGACCACCCATAGGCCAGCCAGATTCCAAGTTGTAGGCAGTCTTTCCGGGGCAGAATCCGGACACCTGGTCAAGTTGGCTCTTGGCAAAGTCTCCAGCGTTAGCGGCAATGACGGATCCATCGAAAAAGGTCTCAATGTTGGCAGCAACAATGTCAACAACGGGGCATAGAACACCCTTGTTGGCACCAAGAACGCTGACGACTTCAGTGGTGGTGACTGGAATGCTTCCCTGGCCGGCGGCGGTGAGAGCAGACTTTGCGCTGCTGACGAATGCGGCGAGGGATGGGCCGTCACAGAAACCGCTGGAGATGGCCTCGTTACCGACGACAAGCATGACGACGAGATCCCAGTTTCCGGCATTACCCCAGGTCACGATCTGAGGGATTTGAGATTGAGCGGCAGCGATTCCGTCAGCCTTGATGAAGACTCCGAGAATGAGCTTTAGGCCAACAGTCCTGGCGGCAGCTCCAACAGTGTCGAGGGTATCGCAGTCAGTTCCGTAAACGCGGACGGTGGTGAATCCTTTGCCCTTGATGGTGGTAAGATCTGAGAGCACTTGGCCTGCCGAGAGGCAGGATCCGTCGGCGGTGGAGTATGGCGTATATGTGAAGCCCCACTTTTGACCATTGGCAACGATTCCGCCGGTTGAAGCTGGTGCGGATGAAGCGGCCGGGGCAGCAGCGGATGATGGAGCAGCAGCTGATGGAGCAGGCGCTGGAGCAGAATATGGTGCTTGTGCATTTACGACGGGAGCAACTGGAGTTGAAACAGCGACTGCAGTTACGCTGATAACATTGACTTCGGTGCTGGTCAATGAAACGGTAGTGGTTGGTGCAGCTTCTGCGAGTCGAATTAGCCTTCCTCATCCTATTGAGGCGCATGCAAAGTGTCTCTACCATCTTCATAAACAGTGACCGTCACCACCTTTTTGCAGCATCCAGGCGCGAGTTCTCTTGGGATGAGATCCTTCTTTTGATGGAAATCGGCATGTCTGGCATGCAAGGAGAGGGCACCTCCGACGAGGGAGCCCAGGACGACTAGCGTAGATTTCATGGCGAGAGTAAACAACAGTGAACTAGCACTTGCGGGAATAGATGGTTTGGCCTAGGAAGGACGAAAGGAATGAATGTAGGACCGCTGAACGAGTGAAGCGATCTGGAAAGCACAAAGACAAAGCTGGAGTGAGATGTGAAAACGGTAGTTCGGAAGGAAGGAGTGTTGGAAAGATGGAGAGAAGGGTGAAGGATATTCGAAAGCGGAAACAAGGCGCATGCTCTGGAAGCGGACGCGCCAAAGAGTCGCCAACGATTCCCGCCAACGAGTGGTGAGCGGGCTGGGACGACTCTTGGGCGAATTGGTTGTGCCAACTGCCAATGCTTGTCCATGACTGCGGCGCCACAGCGGTCGGTTTTTAGGCACTTGGCTGTGATGGCTGGCTCAGGGGTACACGCTGATTTGACGGTTGTCGTGTGAGTGCAGATTTGGCTCTTTATCGCGTAGCGCTCATCTTACTGTCGCTTGCTAAAGCCTAGCCTTGTAGCCGTTGATATCGGCGGCCTGAACATGCGTGTTCTTCTCGCAATCTGGTGAACCATTTCATAATCAAAGTAACAGCAATTGTAAATAATCACAGCATATGGTTGCATTCCTGATGCTGATGGGAGAGGCTGGAGCGAGGATCAGAGCCTCTCCAGGGGCGGACGTTGCCGCATATGCACGGAACCAGGTACAAAGGGGGTTTTACCAGCTAGGCCGGATGAGGCAGGTATTCGTTATATACTTGCGAAGATCTTGCTTACAGTATTCTTTCGATGCGTTCAATTGGAATGAAGGTCTGAGAATATTACAGAACGAGCTTTGTAAGACTGTACCTGCATACAACACCAGGGGAGGGTGGTCAATGGTCCAACACGAACTCCCTTAATTTGACCGCACAGACTGTCCAACATCCCAAGCACCAAGCGATTCTCTTGCTCCACAACCTCTCGTTTCATTTGCTGACACCTCAAAGTGGCAGCTCGCTGTTGGATCTCTTGGGAGAGTCGTCATCATCGCCTCGCTGACCATTGACAGTCGACCAATTTGACCCTGACTGCATTCCCCAGAACCATTTCGCGCCCACGATGCTTGGAAACTTATGCCAATCTTCCAAACAATCCAAACATTGTTTCGTTTCCGAGCCGTCATTAATAGAATGCGCAACGGAAGTTTATCCCTGTGCTGGTGATCTTCGGTCAGGTTGACCGCTGTTCAAGATCTTCATTTCCCGTTGCTCATCGTGCCATCCACCCCATCCACAAAAACACTTTTTGTTTTCTTCATTTCCCTAGGGCCAAAAATGCGTTGATCACCTCCATGGGCCCATTTTTGTTCGTTGCAAATTGAAATGATCCAATCATAACTCTGGCTCGCCGCCGGCCGATGTGCCTTGTGGCGTAGTTTCGTCGACACTGACAGCGCCGGGAGATCTCCAAGATCTTGTTTCTCAACTTCAAATTGCTCAGCGACCATTTAAAAAACCAGTCGACGACTCCTTGCTATTGGTCGTGATATTGTTACGTACATGGACAATAGAACCACGACATTGGTTGTACAACATCCAAATCATGATCGCCATCGCATTAACAATATGCCATTAACAATTGCGCCTATTCTATGTATGCTATCTCACAGCGATTCGAGTGACAATTACCAAGAATAGGCATTTCAGTAGGTACGAGTGGAAAGGGCACAATTTTTATGCCTAACAGCCCACATTTCTGCTACTATTCACGGAAAAGTATTTCTCGATCCGCATCACATTTGCCTATAACTTGATTGAATATCAGACCTCTACGGCTTAACATACTCGAACATAATATACATCACCACGGAGCACTACTACTTTCTCTCCCCATCTACAGCCCAGGTGAGAATGAACATTCCCATAACATCTGCATTGCCCATCTACACGCAATCGTTAGTTGTTGTTTCATAAGTGGTGGGTATACTACTTACTGCATTATGCTCAGCGCCGCTTCGTCTACTCTGCTATTAGCAAGTTGCGCAAAAGTCTCATCAGCATCAACTTACAGTGGGTGCTTTGCAAGATCATACACCGATTTCATGGTTAAAGTATCACCCTTCTTCACAGGAATCGCCTCTGGACAAGACGGCATCCCAGCGATGGACTCGAATCCATTTGCCTTTGTATAAATAGGCGCAGATACACAGACCTCTTTATCGTTGATAAGCAGAATCATACGCTCTCCTCCAATATGCATGTGACCCTCTGTCACGCCAATATTAGCAATCCGCGATACCTGTCATGCGTGTACGAAGACTCACTGGCCGAAATAATCTTCCCATCCACAAGAATCGGGATCTTGCGCCCAGTTGTCTCTGCAGGCCCAGTCTGGTTCAATGCAATCGCATTTCCTCCGCCGATCCCACCACATCCACCAACACTCAGCAGCGTTGACACCGCATCAGATCCCACATGTCCGTCTACATACTCGATATCAAATGTCACATACACTTTGCGTGTGTCCGCATTGTAGTTGACCAGATCAGCCTGTAGCGCAAACGAGTCGTTGCTGCCTACAAAGAACCCGCTTGGGTACGCGCCGTCTTCGGAGGTGAAGTAGAATGGCGTGCTGTTATCGTCTCCCTGCGAGAAGAGCTCTGCACCGAGCAAGTCCAGCAAGTTGGTTTGCGTGGTATTCGTGCTGCCGACACACTTGGCGACAGGTTTGAGTGCTTTTTTGGAAATGTCGTGGGAGAGAATGTGGTGGATGTACACGCCTTGTGCTGGGCCAGCGGGGCTTCCATCTTCGAAGAGTAGGCCGGGCTTGCCGGCGAGGATGGTGCAGTTGGAGCACATGCCATCGGATGTTAGTTCGATGAAAGCTTGGCCATTGGGATCAAGGGAGTTGATGAGTTTCTTGGG